GTTAAAGTTTGACCAATTTAGGATAAGTCACCTCCTTTGACTATTTCTGAGAGTTAAATGTAACTAATTTCTTCAATCGTTTGCGGCCAACAACAAAATATTGTTTGAGTTAAATGCATATAGGCTCCATGGTTAAATGACCCTTAAAAACAAACAAAGATATAAAAAGTTTAGCTCAAAACAGCAACACAAAAAATATATTAAACTTTAAAATATGCACAATATTTATAGACAGATAAAACTATTTTTATAAATGTGACTGATGGCTCATTGGTTTGACATCCGCTTGAAAAGCGACAGACCCGAGTTCAAACCCCGGCTGGGTTAGAATTTTTTTAAATTGTAATCTACTAATTTGTCTATTTCATTCAGTAGAATTTGACTAATTATTAGTGACTGCTTTTTCGCTATGACAATTAGTCAAATATGACTTATAATTAGTTATTTTTGACAATTTTATTTTAATATAGTATCTTTAAATTTAATTGCTCCAAAATGTAATTCGTAATACCTCCTATACCAAAAAAAATATTTAGAAATTTTAGAAAGAAATTCCAAGCATATTTCATATAACATACCATATACCTAAATTCAACCGTTTCTAAAATATTTGCAGTTAAAACGTTATCATCAAATATTTTTTTTAATTGTTACAAATCAAGAAGCCTCAGGATAACAAAATGTTAATTAAAAATAAATAACTATAGTGACAGTATATCAATATTAATAGTTAGGTAAGTGAGTAAAAATGCCGTACTGAGACAGATAAAGACTAAACTATTTTAACTTATTATTTTAAAAATAATTTAAATACTTTGGAAATGGTTGAATTTAGGTATATGGTATATTAAATAAATTATAGTTAGAATTTTACAAGGAATCGGAAAATAAATTTATGTATAGGGTGATCCATTGAAAAAATATTTACTTTTTGTTTTTCCCTGTATACTGATCAACTTTCCAATTTTTTATATACGTAGCAAGTATTTTCCAGTAACAACCATACTTTTAAAATTTTTGAGAAACTAAAATAAAAAATTTAAAAGGGGGCGACATTATAGAGGATCACCCTGTACAGAATAAAATTGTGTTTTAAAATTATTATTTTTTTAAATTAGTTATTGTGGTAGATATAATAAGCTAACTACTATACGAAACACGTCACTTAATTTAAATATTATGTGACAAGTTTGACGTCGTTTGACGCATTTTCCCTTATGTTATTTTAACTTAACATTTCATGGCCTATCAAAAATGATATAAAATGACAAATTTCATACCAAGTAATATCTACAATGTGTGATTACTAAAAAAAATTGAAACTGTATGGTTCAGAAAATAAAAATTTTATATTTATTCAATAAAACAATATAAATATATGGGGTGTACTATGGCTCCCAGTCTTTTTTCTCAAAAATAATTTCTCAGTAAAAATTTCTCAAAGGAAAAATAACCAAGGAATAAATTCTCATGGCAAAAATGTTTTCGATACAAAAATTTCTTAAGGCAAACAATTCTCAAAGGAAAAATTATATGATAAATAAAGTATTAAAATTAAAATAAACCAACAAAACCCAATATCCAACCCCACACGCAACCCAACACTTCAACATTTAAAATAAATAAAAAAAAAATTGGCGAGTGCCGGGTAAGTGGTAAACCAAATAAAGTAATAAAATTAAAACAAACCAACCAAACCCAACACCCAACCCCACACGCGACCCAACACTTTTCAACATTTAAAATAATAATCATATATTATATCACGAGAACTATGAATTTAATAGGTTAAACTAGGCTCAGTAGTTTTTTGTTTGGTTTTTGTTGGAAAATGTTGAATGCAAAATAATTTAATAAAATCACGAGACCGCTTAGCGGTCGAGGGGTTATATTTTTAATTATTTTGCATGAAACTATTTTCCAAAAAGAAAAATCAAATAAAAAACTTACTGAGCATAGTTTGACAGATTAAATTTATAGGTTGAGTGATATACGTCTAGATTATTTATCGAATTAAAGGAAACTATTTAACAATTCATAAAATCTGACGTATGTGTCAAAATTTAAAAATATTTTTTTTAAGAAAATTCCATTAATAATAATTAGTAATAAGTAATAATTGATATTTCGTAAACTAGATAACTTATTTTTTATTGTTTTTTAAAAAATGTTTGTTAAAACTTGTAAATAACACCATAAAATCGTAAACAAAAATCCAATATGGAGGCTAAAATTTAATCGCTGTTAAATAGGTCTAGTGATTAAATCGCTTATTTAAACGAAATTTATTCGAAAATTCAAGGCTTTTGATTGGTTCATATTATAATAAGGGAAATAATCTTTATTAATCCACATTATGTTTACAGAAATATTTTTGACAAGTCAACATTGAAATAAATAAATAATAAAATACATAATAATATATTACATAGTAAGAATACAAGGCACTGACGTAGAACGTACAGATACAATAAATTAAAAAGTAACTCTTAATGCACCGAATCGTTACGAATAAAGAAATCCTGTGAATTATTGTGAATACAGCGTTGCCAAGGGTCGCGAACCGAAAGGACGCCCAGAAATCGACGATTTGAAAGTAAATATACTCCCTAAAGAATATACGTATTGCGCGACTCCCGCCTCTAGCGGTAAACGCTTTCAACTAATAATATACAAAATGTATATATACATATATATATATATATATATAAAAAACCGTTTTACTATTATCTGGGCGTCCAGACAAAATGTGTTCTTTAAACAGTTACGGTATCCTATAGGCCGTTTCTATAGCAAAACAACCGAGCGTCCGTATACGGACGCTCTGTTGGAGCCGGACGCTCGGAGAATAGGGATTTGTTAATGTACGGACGCTAGGATATTAGTAAGATGAATATATCCATATATATTTTTAGCATGTGCCATAATATATAGTTGGTTGCATACGCAGCGGGCGCTTACTAATGAAGTTGGCGTCTTTTTACATTACGAGTGGCAGCACTGGAAGGACATTTCAACTGTCAAAGTTGTTCATGTTTAAACAAAAGTGATTTTAAAACACTGTTTTGCGTCATTTTGCGTTTTCGTGAGGTTGTGGCGAGTTTTTTTATTAGGTTTATAATATAAACTTTATAGTATAAAGTTTATACCATAAATTTTGTAATACAAAAGGTGCGGTCGTTGAGTTATAAATCTGATTTTGGGAATTACAAATTAAGAATATGGAGGTTCAACAATATTTTGCACAATTAGTTGATGATGTAGGCCAAATGGAAGACCTAATAATGCAGAATAATATTGATATTCGACTTCTCGAAGAAGGTGCTGTTAAGTTGGAGAATCACTGCTAAACTTTTGCTGTTTTTATGGGTATTTATCAAGCTATTGATGCTGAAATTCTTTATAATTTAAACAAAGCTTATGTAATAATTTGGAATTTATATTATACTGTTGACTGAACGTTTTATCCAAAGAACACCTTTGCCTTATGTCTAATTATGAATTGAACCAATGTATGTACAGTTGTATTCATTAAAAAAGCGTACAAGAATTAGAATGAGAGAAAACTGTCAACATTATTGTGTAAAACCGGCTTTCCACTGACTTAAGTCACTATAACTGACAGTAGAAAATAAAAATGCCTCGTCAGTTAAAAAGGCTCAAATAGTATCAAGAATCGAAGATAGAAATAAAAAATCTATATTAAAAATTAATAATTTTTGTAATATTATTTAATTAACCTACGACGTCAATGCTCTTTATAACCTATAGTAATTATTTTAATGACTTATGTCAGTGATAAGCCGGTTTTAAGCAATAATATTATTTTGACAGATTTTCTCATTCTAATTCTTGTACGCTTTTTTATTGAATACAACTGTAACACGAGAACGCAAAAGTTTTGCGGCAAAATGCAGAACACAAAACACTTGTTGCACTTTTGTTTTAAAAATGTGACAGTTGAACTGTTCTTCCAGTGCTGCCACTCGTAATGTGATAAGACGCTAACTTAATTAGTAAGCGCCCGCTGCGTATGCAACCCAGTATATATTATGGCACATGCTAAAATATATATGGATAAACTGCTAAAAATATAAATGATAACGGTTAAGAAAATATTAATAACTTTGTGAGATAAAATATATATAAATAAATTTTATTGATAAAATATATTTAAGCATTTGATAATGTTAAATCTCAATTAATAATTTTATTTCTTTAAGTAATATTTTATAATTTTTGATTTACATTTATATATTTTTAAAATATTGTTTTAAATTTATTAATTTTTTATTTATAATTAAGGCACAAACGGCGCCTCATAAATTTTGTCTGATTTTCTTAAAATAATAATAAAATAACAAATTTTAGACCGATCTAACCTTACTTTTTCCCAATTAAATTATTTTTCAATAGTATTTTTTGGTAACGTAAAAAAAGTATAGTCTAAAACAGGTTTGGAATTGCATATTTCGCTCTCGTGAAAACGTGAAACTCGCCTAGGCGAGTTTCACGTTTCAAGCTTCAGCTCGTGTGACAATCTTTTCATTCGAGCGGAATATGCCATATATAATATAAACATAATATAATATATTATGTTTTATGTATTTTTTGTGTATAAAGGTCTTAATTTAGATCACAAAAAATACATAATATATTATATTGTATTATTTTTTTAAATAATCAGCTTCACACTAACAGAAAATTAACCCTAATTATTTATATCAAAGTCACGTGGTAGGACTTTTGGGTGTGGACCATAGTACCAGAAACGATAACGCTACTGTCAATCCTTTTTAATTTAATCTATTGGCCTTTGAAATTTTTTAAAATTTTGTCTTGGCCTATTGCATATTATTGACATTATTTGTGTTTTCTCTATATACAGGGTGCGGCAGAGAGGACGGACGGTTTTAAAAAAACCATAAAATAGTTAGTTTTTACTCAAAAACAAATTTATTGATGGAATCATGTTCGCAAGGAAATAGCATTTGAGACAGTCAAGTGTGGAAAATCACCAGGCATGTGGTGGCCGAAATTGTTGATGCAGTGCTGGAGGCGTTCTCCAACATCGCTCTCTCAACTTGGGCGACTTCCACGCGAATTGCGTCCTTCAATTCGTCCAGAGTCCGGGGCTTGTTCTCGTATACTCTAGCCTTGAGGTGTCCTCATAAGAAAAAATCGCATATGGAAAAATCTGGGGACCGAGGAGTAATGGTCGTGCTGTTACCGTGAACTCAGAGCGCTACGTCGAAATGATCACCAACTTCTTTTCCCTGAATTACGACGGCGACGTGTTCCAATCCGACGTGTGTGGTTCCAGCAGGATGGGGCGACCGCCCACACAGCCAAAGCATCAATGGACGTTATTCGCCCTCTCTTCCCTGGTCGCCTTATTTCCAGGTTTGGCAATGTTCATTGGCCTACTCGGTGCACTGTATCAACGATTTCGGCCACCACATGCATGATGTGATTTTACACACTTGAATGTCTCAAATGCTATTTCCTTGCAAACCTGATTCCATCAATAAATTTGTATAATGATAACGTCTGGCAACGGGAATAATGAACTCATTATGCACATTGTTAGGCATCAGTGATTGGCTGATTTCAATATTCACTGAGATTTGAACCAATCGGGTTTTACATTGGGAAAAAGTGAGGTTGTAACTTTCTAACAGTTGTCAGATTTTTTATATCTACGAGGGGCAACTGTCACTAACGATCATTAAAATCGGAATAAAGTAAAGTATAATACATTTTGTTAATAACAATTACTTAATTGGATTAGAAAAAGCGTATAATCTATAGTTCTACACTCGAGATAATGAAAATAATATACTCTTATCTACTCTTACATTTACAATCTGTGACTTTATAGCCTTTTATTCACGGGCTAAAGTTGGAAACAGTGGATTTTGGGTATTTTTGTCACAGGCTAAAGTAAGCTTTATGAGAAGATTTAAAAAATATAAATATAAAATTCTCTAGGCACACAAACCATTGCTCGCAAGCATCGCTCGTGCCTAATTATACTCGTAACTAAAATGTCGTTTATAAAACTTGATACATAATTATCTATTATTAGGAAAGCATGTAATGCTGGTAACGTTTTTTAAAACATGTTTGATAGTTAAAATATTATAAAGCTTTTAAATTAATACTACCTAAACTTATACTGAAAATATGATAAAGAATCAGTCAAAACATTATTTTAATTTAATTTAAAATGTACCCTTTAAAGTTTACTTATTTTATGAGCCAATTATTTATTACTAAGTTTTTTTGTTTTTTTTTTAACATAATATAATACGGGAGTAAGCCGTACAAAAATCTCGAAAACGTTTTTATTTCGCACGTTAATACCTTCACATAAACCATTTGACCGCGGACGGGGAACCACGGTCATTAATTTCGGAATTTCCCGGTTCGTTTTTGTTCTATTTCCTCCCCGTTTCGGATTACCTCGAGACGCAGGCTTTGTGAAAACATTAATAAACATCGTTTTTGCCTGCATCTTAAATAATTTAGTTAACGGACTAACCAATTTGGTTTTTTTAAACGTTAAAACTCTTTAATTTGTGTTTATTTACAAGCATCACTATATGTTTATTTAGGAGCATTATTATATGGATTGTAAATGAACTATTAATATCACAATTTGACATAACGGCCATTTCAAGCGTACGGGTGGGACAAATTACAAAACTGCTTTTATAAAAAAATTGCAGGGAATTTATTATATATTATTTTTGCATCAAAATTTTCAAATATATTCTTCTTTTATTATACATTAAATAAAAAAAACTCGCAAGAAATATTTTATAAAAGTAGAGATAATTTCAATATCTGACAGGTGTGGACGGGACAAGATAAATATTAGTTTGTCCCGTCCACACCTTTCAATTATTAAAATTATCTTTACTTTTTTTAAATATTTCTTGCGTTTTTTTTATTTAATGTATAACCCAATAAAAGAAGAATATTTTTGATAATTTTGTTGCCAAAATATTATATAATAAATATTCTAAATTTTTTTTATAAAAACAGTTTTGTTATTCATGCATTTCGCGCGATTGAAATGGTCGATAAGTAAAATTTTAAACTAATATTTTAGACTAAAAAAACGTCAAATTTAATTTTTTTATTTTGATGCTTTTAAGAGCTAGACACAGTTTAAATTTCTAATAATTTTTTTCACATTTTATATTATAATTTTGGTAAACAAAACCAGAAAAACGAGTTTTTAACATATCGATGACATGAAAATTAAACTGGTTGCCAACAGTCTGAAATAAAAAATACCAAATTTCGATGATTTAATGAACTTTAATGAACTCATCATTTCAGTTGTTAGGTATTATCATTCAGCAGAATCTGCTCAGCAGATTTTAATATTTACTCTGATTTGGACAAATTGGATTTTAAATTTGGGAAAAAGTGAGGTTAACATAATACATTTGAAATATACGGTGACTATAATCATCTTTAACAAAGTGAGGTTATTATAAATTTTAGTGAAAATTACATAATTGGAGTAGAAAAAGCATAGTATTCCACTTAAAACAATTTGCATTATCTCTTATAATATATTATATTAAAACTAATTTTTCTTGTCAAAATTGGTATGGGCTATTTTTTCTATTAAATAAAAAATACTTTCAAGATGGCGAAAAAACTACAGATAATTGGTGGTCGAAAATTTGTATTTAAGCTTTTTATATTGTACCCTAACGATGGCAAAAAAAAGTTTATTGCAATGAATTGCAATAATAAAACCTAAATATAGTGGACCAATGATGAAATTATTGTGACGAAAAGCAAAACTGCTATAAGACACGCAAAAATTATATGAAATGCAGTATATTCAGTATGACCCATTTGTTTGCGACTCACCCCTGTAAAATCTTTATTTATTATGCGATTTTAACCAGATTTTTTTTAAAGTGTAGATCTTGATAAACTGTATTTTTGGAGCAAAAGACGCCATATTCGTTCAAAATACAAGGCCTACTAAGTCAGTTTTTAAGAGTAAATTTTTAAGAATCCATATTACCGTTTTTTTAAACAAAATCTAAGCACGGTACTGGATTCACCACCCCTCAAAACAACCCTATACTAAATTTTATTGAAAAATTTTAAGAAAAAAAATGCACCATAATAACGACAAAATAAATTTTTGTAGTTATTGTTACTGTACATTTTTTTTTTCTAAAATTTAGTTTAGGGTCGTTTTGAGGGGTGGTGAATCCAGTGCCGTGCTTAGATTTTGTTTAAAAAAATCGCTAATATGAATTCTTAAAAATTTACTCTTAAAAACTGACATATTAGGCCTTGTATTTTGTACGAATATGGCGTCTTTTGCTCCAAAAATACAGTTTATCAAGATCTACACTTTAAAACAAATCCGGTTAAAATCGCACAATAAGTAAAGATTTTACAGAGGTGAGTCGAAAACAAATGGGTTCCACTGTATATTAAAAAAATACAAAATTTAAGTGTTTATTAGCTCCATAAGATTATCTTCGAATATCCTTACTCGAATATCTTCCAATGAACCAATTGGAGTGTTTAAAATGCAAAGTGCGTACCAAATCACTTATAAGGAAACACAGTTTGGCGGCCAATGTTGGTCTCAAAACGCAATAAAGTAATTATTTTGTTTGTGGTATGGCTAGTAGCGACTGAAATTTAAAAAAAAATTAAAACAATTATTATTATTATTATTATTTTTAAATATTTTAATCAGTAGACGTAAATTTTTAATATGCAATCTTAAACCTTAGAGTAAATTTAGTGGACGTTTAATGGACTCTCTCGTAAAAAGTCTCATGGCATTACACTGGGAAAAGTTGAATTCAATGGATGTGAGTACGTCAAGTTGATATAGTGCAACACTAAAAGACGTAATGATATGTTTGCAAATTTATGTAACCTGATAATTGGTGATAAAGTGTTCCGTCGTTTCGCGTAATTGTCCATTTTCAAACAAATTAAAAGCCTTTTAAATGTGTCGAAATTTTAATGCGTTCCATTTGTTTTAGTTTTTTGTGTTATACTTGCATAATTTACTTTTTGAATAATGTTGGTTAGTGGCTTAATTAAACTCTAAACTTTAAAGACATAAGTTTATTTAACTAATGCACGAGGTTTACTTAAAATTTACATATAGCTTTAAAGTAAATTAAAATCTGAAATATTATTTAACGAAAACAGAATTTAAACTTAAGTCCTCGATGTTACAACATCAAAGACTTTGTAAACGCCTTCAACACACATAAAAAGATAAAAACTTTAATGAAATGTGTTTGTTGGCTATCTAACATTTTAATCTGTTTCAATATATGTTTGCACCATTTAATACTGGTTTTTCGGGATATACATTAGGGTGAGCCGAAAAACGTAAAAAAAAGAATATTTGAGATATTTATTTGGGGGTATTAATAAAAAGTTGCCTTATGTCAAAAGTAATTTTTAGAAGAAAAGGTAGCGTACTAGCTCAATATTTAAGGGTCCCCCGGGGGCCCATAATACTTTTTTTGTATGTTTTGACTGGGGTGGCAACCTTATGTAATTCTATAAAAAAAATGAGCATACTAGCCCAATATTTAAGGGTGCCCCGGACTCCCAATATATTTTTTTCTTCATATTTTAATTGGGATAACCATAAAAAGTAACCTCATGTTAACAGTATGTTTAGAAAAAAAATGGCCGTTCTAGCCCAATATTTAAGGGGCCCAAATTTTTTATATATATTTTAATTCAGATGGCAACAAAACGTTACGTATTAGTTTGGATAGAAAAAACAAATGTCTTTACCAGTCCAGTAGTTTTTTATTATTTTAAGAAGACGCCATTTGATAAAAAAATTAGCAACTCTTAGCTTGATTTTTTAAATTAAAAAAAAAAAACAATTTGGTTTACTCTAAATTAATTAATTGGATAGTTGCTCCTCGAGTTCCACCCAACTCCTCCCACCCAGTCCAGTAGTTTTTTATTATTTTAAGAAGACGCCATTTGATAAAAAAATTAGCAACTCTTATCTTGATTTTTTAAATTAAAAAAAAAAAAACAATTTGGTTTACTCTAAATTAATTAATTGGATAGTTGCTCCTCGAGTTCCACCCAACTCCTCCCACCCAGTTTTTTTATTTGAATAATATTGAGCCATGTTGTCATAGGCCGGTAAAGATGTCCGCGCATCTAATTTTGCTACTATAAGACCATTTCTTGCTTCCTCACCAATAACTTTTAATGCAGCTTCTGTTACAAGCTTTACACATCCTTCCACAGCTTGCGTGTGACAGGAAAGCTTCAAAACATTATGTATATAGAAGTCTGCTTGACTTATAAACATTTTTAGTTCTTCATGTGTAAAGGAGTTATAACTCCTTTAGTTAAAGAAGGTTCTGTAATAGTCAATTCCATATTACATTTGGCTGCTTAAAGTTCGAGATACAAATTGCTATTGACGAGAATTATAAGTGGCTGCTTTTTCGTTATGACAATTAGTCATTTTTGACTTATTCATTTTTAGAGAGTAGTATTTATTATTTAAAAATTAAAAAAAAATCAAATGTTTTTAAATCATGTTTATCCTGTTGGATATTTAAAGCTTTCACCTAAAAAGCTCCAACTCAAACATTTCGGGTATCGTCTTGGGAGGCGGCAGCGACGGCGGCACTGTTGACACTCCACAGTGTCAACTCTTTAGGCGTAAATCACATTTACAATCTCTTTGTGCCCAGGTCGCCTCCCTGCCGGGGTAAAGTAATGAATTGCAAATTTTTTATTGTTACGATTCTGGCCAAAATGGTTTTCTTATTATCTCTCCTCTACTTTTGTTTGTACTATACAATCGCTAAAAATTATATTTCCATAGATTTGAATGATATTTCGAGTTTTTATTAGTTTATTACTTTACGAGAATCGTTCCGTAATCCAATCATCATTCAATATTGTTCAGGGATTTCCGCATCCAATTTAATTATATTTTAACCGAGGCTTTAACAACAAAAATTCTGCATTTTTTGATCCCAAGGTTTTTATTGCTTGTATCCATATGATTTAATTTTTTTCTTTGAAAATAAAAAAAGCTTTGTTGTTTTTGGCATACTTTTAAAATGATAGGGTAAGTTAGGGTAAGTTTTATCCATTATATACTTATTCTTTATAAGGAAATTAGAGCTTTTGAAAGATAGCCTTATAACATTTTTATGATGAAGGTTAAACTTAGGTTATGGATTAACTCTATTATAATTATAATTATTAACACTATTTAAAAAAATATTTTTGATATTTTTTTTAAGCTTTATATTTCAATTTTATTATTTAAACTGCGGAAATTGTCTAAAGTGGCCCAAATTGTCTAAACGTTTTAAAAATGATGAAGTACATTACTATTTTCTCTGGCTGTATGCATATACATTGGGGTGTTTCAAAATAAGGCAATATTTTTATTTTTTTAAATTCATGTGAAATTCTCGTCACTTATGTTAAAAAAAAATCTGTCAAAAT